TAGGTGCATGAATATTATCCTATCACAGACAGCGTTGTACCTCATGACTGATCTGGATATGTTCTTTTTGACAGTGAATGCAACACCATTCCTCTGCAATTTGTCATTTCTGGCATAGTAAACCATGTGGTTGTCAGATTCAAAATGGCCAATACCAGCCCATTTCAGCTTACTAATGCCTCAGATTCATAATTTACTCTTCATAGCTGTTTCTCTTCATTTTGAGTTGTGCCCCATCAGCAAATGAAGGTCCCGCGGGCTTTACACCATGTCATCACAGTCAACTCTACTTTGAGGAGGCAGCTCTTCCCTGTCATATTTTGAGTGCCTTCCAACCTGAGGGGCTCATTTTCCAGCACTATATCTGACAGTGTTTCTCTGTTATTCATAAGGTTTTCAGTGACTAAATATTTGGAAGTAGTTCGTCACTCCTTCCTTGTCTGTCGTAGTCTGCAAGCTCATCTGAAACCTGTCCACCATGGGTAACCCTGCGGGTATTTAAAATAAAGGTGGCATAACTTTCAGAATCATAGCAACTCACAAGCCACCACAGTAGGACAAACTGACAGATAAGTGGTGGTTTAAAGCTGTGGTGAACAGGAAAAGATAAAAACATTCACTACCCTCTGCCCAGGAATCAAGCTAATGTTCATCAGGTTACTGAACGGAACCAATCTTTTGGTTTCACTCCTGTCTCAAACAGATCCGCAACTTAACCTCTTCCTGATTCCGACCCCACATAAGGCTACACTGCCCAGCATTTTCTGTGCTCAGAATCTGGAGAGGCTAGCTGCTCTGAACCAGCTAGCTTAATAAAATCCGAAACTCTGCTTCACCTCTCTGAGTGGCCTCCTTTTTTTTGACAACTGATCAAGAGCTGCTGTGACACTCTCAGACCTAGGGCTTCTGTTGACAGTGGTTCTCAAAAGTGATCTGATATCCTTTCAGGGACTTGAGAGTTCCTTCCTTTTCCAATTACATATATATATTTCTGAGACTTGACTTTCTTCATTTGCTTCAAGCAAAACATTATCAACAGATTGAATGTAAAAACAAGTATGAGCATTTAATTATCTTCTTTTAGTCACACATTAAAAATGTGTTCAAGACTAAAAGAATGCCACACTTCTAAATTTTTTGTTTTAGAAAATTAAGTAATTAAAAAATTAAAGTTATTTATGTTAACAATATTTTTAAAATGAATTTATCTTTAAAAATTCTGCTTCCATTATTAATAACTTGAATATCAATATATACAACCTATACAAACAAAAGTTCTTTGTGATCTTTAACAATTTTAAGAGTGTAAGGGGCCCTGAGACGAAAAATCTGAGTACCACAATTTAGTATAAAAGAAAAAGCTTCAGGCCTGACTCGTGATAGGTCTAACACTTTCTGAGAAACACCTGTGATGGGACCCGGGCGTCGTAAGACTGCCAGAACAGATATTTACAACAGTGCTAGGTTTGTCCAGTGTCCACATAGAGAACTGACGAGATCGTGGATCAGGTGAAAACTAGGTCACAGAAGGGAAGGATTCTTTTTAGCTAATCGTTGCGACACTGTCGCGTTTCGTTGGTACGGTGCCGTAAAGATAGGCGCGGAGTCGCCTCCCCAGCCGAAGCAGCAGCTGGAGAACGCGGCAATGGCGGATATGGAAGATCTCTTCGGCAGCGACGCCGACAGCGATGCTGAGCGTAAAGGTGGGCTCGGGGGGGAGGGGTGCGTAGCAGAGCTTCCGCGGGGGTAGTCTGACCCCGCTCAGGTTCCGGGTCTGCGAATACTCTGGCGCCGCGAGCGGGCGGCGTCGCTTCCTCCATCCACCCCTGCCTCAGCGCCCCCTGCACCCCGGGCGGTGCCACCCTCCTCCAGTCGGCGAGGATCGAGGGACTGTCGCGGAGTCTGCGCCTCGAGGTTGTGGGTGTCCTCGGAGCGCGCGGTGCCTGGGAGCGGCTGGAGTGAAGAAGGTGCGGGTAAGGGTTGGAGGCTGTCCGGGGAGGAACCCTGACGTCCTGCTCCGCCTTGCCTTGCTCAGGCCAGCGCAAAATAAGGATGGGTGATGAATAAATGAATACGGGGATGGGGTGGACGAATTCACAGAGGATCTCAGAATGCTCTCTTGCATGAAGCCAGAGCATTACGTGATCTGATGAGGGGTGTGAGGGTCTCGGTGAGAAGTCTGGGAAGGATACCAGGATGGGATTGCACAGGCGTTATGGTTTGAGTGAGTGCATCCTCTAAGAGCCGATGCACATGCTTTTGAATTTATGGATTCTGTGGTTTTAATTTTGAGGAGCCATATGCAGTCTGTGTTTCAAGAGAATGTATGAAAGATTTGTTAATTAAATGAATGAATGACTTTCTGGTGTGTGGAAGTATTGGTAATGTTTGTTCTTGTAAGCCCTTGTGGTACAGCTTTTTTTTAGTTTGAAATATCAATTGAAGTGAGAAGAGGCCCAAGACCAACTTCAGAATTCTTGCAACCCTCTAAGCTCTAGGCTCAAGCTAGTGTATGTATCTCTGTATGCGTATATGTGCATTTGTTTTTTCGTTAGCAAATGCATTATGGTTGAGCACACCCCACATCCCTGTTTTCTTAAACTCCAGTTCATTGTAGATTGTAATGAATTGAGCGCCAGTGAAGGTATAGAGAATTGAATTCTATTGTGAGAGATCATTGGGATAGGTATCCAGGAGGCTCTGGTAGAATGAGTCTGGAAATTCAGACTCCTGTATACGGACTCTGTTCCATTACTTTGCATATGTTTTCATTTCCCCTCAGTTTTCTTGTCCATATCCCACTCCTCCTTCAAGGCATAATTCCATGTGAATTCTCCCATGACTCATTTCCATGAAGTTTGTTAATTCCTTCAACAAGTACAGGTAGTCCCTACTTAGGTATTTAAATTAGAACATGATGTGTTTTTTTAAATATATACAATGTTTCACCTGATGTTAGTGTGCTCAGATATTCATTCACTTGCAGATGTTATGTTAGTAATGTTTCCGTCCCCCAAAGAAGAAGATCAGAATTTTAAAGGGATATGATAAAAGGCAATAATAATGAAACTAAAAAATAGGGGGGACGGAATTCAACTTGACTTATATTAGAACTGATTTAGAATGGAGTCTTAGGAAAAGATCTCCATTGTGAATCGGGGACTAATATTTATTCATCTCTACCATACTCCGGGGAGTCCTGGTGTGGCGCTGTGAATTAGTGCGCCAGACTGCAAAGCCGTTTGAACTACAAGGTCAGCGGTTCAAGCTC